TGGCTGCCACATACCGCCGAAAGATCGAGGTACAGACACCAGATTATCCTGCCTCGAAAGCCGCAAACCCGAGGAGGATGATCGTGCTGAGGGCAATAACAAGCAGAGCGTGAATGAGAGGAGTAGGCTTTCTCGACGCCAGACACCGATTGCAGAGGTCAGCGAGATGGAGAAGTGGAGCCAGCAGAAGCTGCATCGACCGAAGATCAAGCTGCGACCGGTTCTGGGGCAGAGAAGAATTGAGGAGCCCCTTGCGGAAGGGCCAAATAGCTGGTCTGCATCGCAGATGGAGGAGCATGGGCCCGAGAGCACCACACTTGGTATAAGTGCAGTAGTGGTGGTGGCATGTTGGATGCGAATGAAGCATTCCGGAGGATTGAGCGACCGCTTGGTCCCAAAGTCAGGAAAGGTCCCTCCACCGACTTGTACCAACCACCAACTTTCAGGTCACCAGCTTGACCCCGGGTCGAGTTGAGATTTAACACAAGTAAGAATGCAGGAATTCAACGCATTGCTCATTTGCAGTCACTTCTTTGCGCTGCGAACCTTCTGGACTTTCGAATCGCGGACCGGCTCCAACATATCAAGTCTTCGATCGTCTGCGTTGTCAACAACTTCGGCGTACTGACCTGCTCTTCTGTGGCGAGCGCGAGGCTAGACATTACTAGAATCTGTTCGCAAACCATACTTACCACACTTCTCATACGAGGCTAGTGTCCGCCCAACTCAGGCGATCTCCAGTCTCATCACGCACCTATACAGCGGCACGACTTCCTTCTCCGCCGATCCACCGGATAAATGCGCAGGTGAGCACGACGGTATCGTGTGGTTCACGAGCGACAAGCATGCCCTGACACAAGCCAAGGGTCCAGCTGTGGAGCTTTGAGGTAAGTGCAGCTATGACTCCGGGGTCGGTGTTCAGGAGCAAAGATAATAATGAGAGACATTGAACGCGGTGGAGTACCCTTACAGCGATAAAGCCAAACAATCTACTCTCGTCGGAGACCCGGATTGCACAGAACTCATCTCGTCATGTCAACGACTCGCCAATGAATCTGCCACGGATTGGCGACGACGGCACGACCTATGGCCCTAACTTGACTTCCGTAGTAACCGCATCCGGACACGCAGTATGACTTGAAAGCGTTTCTTCGGAGGCCGCTTCACGGAGACTTCGTGCGCTCAATACGTGGCCTCTGACGGCGTATGGATTCAGGCTATTACCAGGTGGAGTCTGATCGCTGCACGATGAAGCGGAAAGACTTCACGCCAGGACCATGTTACTTACGATCTACCCAGTACTGACTAGCGGCAAGTCTTTTCGCTTCTTGGTGCGGCTGTTGGACCTTTTCTGACCTTGATCAGAATATAGCTCAACCGAATCACTTCTTGGTCATGTTCGCCGAAGCTCTTCGAATCCGACAGCGAAATCTCGCGAGCTTAAGCGTACGACGACGATCAGGCCCAAAGCTATTACGGCAAATGAGCGGCGAGTACGAATGCTCATCGAACGGGGTTGTGCTAGTGCTTGCGGAATAACACCATTGGTTGGCCGATTATGTGTATATGTCTATATACTCAATTGCGCGCAAATGATGCTGCTGATTGTGATCAAGGAGCTTCAACAAAGTACATTCCGGCACACCAGATGACCACCAAGACTGTTTTCGAGGTGATCGAGTTCGAGACCGCAGATCTGAAACATCACAACTTCAACCTTGGCACGATCATGAATGTCAGAAACGTTATCGACTAATCTCACGACTCTTAGTCTGCGTACAGTATGCCCATTTCATCACCAGTTCGTGCTCGGCCTCCTTTGCAACAATCTCAATCTCAATCCAATCCTGTGCTTGCTCCTCTCCATCACCAAGTTCAGCGACAGCTCGGGCACGCGAAAAGCCGAACCGACCGCCGAAAGACCTGGAGCCGGGAACCCATTTAACATCGAGCAGGAGACTACCTCTGCAAGTCTCCATAGACCACTTTGGAGGCAGGAGCCCGCCAGCTGCGATATGTTCGACATTTTGGCCGCAGACCGACGTTTCCGACAGCAAGATCGCTCGAGATTTCATCCAGATCGATTGTGATGCGGTCTGCAGGTATATGCGGCTCGCGATACAGACATCGAACATTACGCTGATCGCGATCAGCGCGGTCAAAAAAGACTCAGAGCCAAGCATCGCGCACATCACAGCGCATATTACCAACTTCCATTGCCTCGCTTCCTCGAACTATCAGCAGAAGATCTGTTGCCTCCTTGTTCTAGCTCTACTACGCCTGCTTGCTATGATCTGTATGGTAATGGGTACAAGCTGGGGTGGACTGGCAGCATCGTAAAGTGACCTCAGTCCGAAGGCTACGACAATCACAGGGCATTGGAGAGCGCGGCAGCAGACCGCTTTGTCGGCTTCGGCGAGTCTATGCTCACGTATACACTCTCTCGCACGAAGCAGTAGTAGAGGTCTCAAGAATGTGTCCTTTCCACGCGCGAGCAGTCGAAGTGGTGGAACAATCTTCTAGGCACAGACTTTACCGACTCGGCATGGGCGAGTACGTACCGTTATTACGCTCACGGGAAGCAGCACTCTCAATACTCCCAAACACAATGCAAGCTCCTACAGACATTCAAGCGGCAAGCATGTTTCTCCATTGGCAAACAAGCCTGTTAATCATCAAGCCAGTCCTCACAGAGGCAGCGTGCCAATGTCGAGTCACGGAGTCGCCCCCAAAGAAAATGATCGTCACCAGCGTGAGACCAGACAAGAAAGCTCCTCGATGCCTGGTGAACGATAGCATTGCAGACCTTCTAGTCGGATCATTCGGCTCTTCCGTCTACATCTCTACCACCGCCGTTCACCCATGCTACCAGCCTCTGATGAGATGTCGCATATTCGTCACGCAGAGCCTCGTAATCTCCATCGCCTTCTTCTGCCTCGCTACCGTCGCTGACCTCATCGCAATCCATCAACTCGTCGTCCTCCTCTACCTCGCTACTTTCGTCGGCTTCATCTTCATGGCCCGCTTCGTCGCCGCCGGTAATTTCTTCGACTCCCTCCACTTCTTCGTCGTCACTCATGTCACCTCCCTCCTCCGGATCGATGCCTCGTCCTTCCCAGTCTTCGCCGAAAGCTACGATGGGATCTTCGTGTTGAGCAGCCGTCTCGTGGCAGATGTACGCGGCTCCAAGCCATGTGATCAGTTTCGCCGGAGGTTGCTCAGTCGAGTGGTAGCCACCGACTGGTCGATCTTCGCCATACTCGTCGAAGTTGATGACATCTTGAGCAATATCGAACATTTTCTTGCCGACAACGTCGTTGAGATTGCTCTGCGGATATCTTGCGGCCAGCAGAGCGATCTGGAAATTAGTGGGCGCGAGTCACGAACAAGGAGGATACTTCTGTAAGAACTCCACTATGCAGTACAACTACGATCCGTCAGTCATCTGCTTGCACATCAAAGTTGTAGCTCGCAGACTTACGCCATCTTTCTGATACCGTTCCATCGCCACATCATCGCCCTCTCTGGTCTCAACCAAATCCACTTCGAACCCAATATGCGGTCTATTGGTGGAGTCCTCACTCCCGAGAATATGCGTCCGATTTTCTTTGTGCTGATGGGACATAGGCTCTTTGCACCTGCAACAATGGAACGTGTACCATGAGGCTGTACTACACTCCTCGCATACTCCGGCCTTCAGAGGCGATGGACCGAACGAGCGAAGCGTATAGGCGTGGATGCATGGTGGCATCCTTGCAGTGGCCGATGAGGTGTATGGTGTATGGCTCTTCTTGCAGTATGGGCGTGAAGAAGACGTTTCTGTTGAGAATCGATGGTTCTCGATCAGACGCAAGCTTGTGGTTGCGTTGTTGATGTACACTCGAAGCTTTAGTCGTGTTCGCAAACAGAAGTAGTGACGGAACCGGACCGGCAGGCATCACATGAAAGGGTGTTCGCACGTCGGAGATGTACAGTCACGATCTCGTTGGCAATACCACAGATGACAAGTCCCTCCAACGTGAATGTACAGCGTAGGCACTGTATTGCGTACAGTCAATCTATCGGACTGCTGTGTATCATGCCAGTGCCACATCACCCTTCAGGCGGCGCAGCCAGTGCGATGTTGCTTTGGGCCAGCTTTACGGCGCGGAGAGTAGCCGTTGCTGTTGTAGCCGTCGCGTGATTCTATCAGCATAAGCTGTTCAATTGCTATACAGTGAGGTTGCACTCGAGCCATTCCAGATTCCTGAAAGCATTGCCTGACTGCTACGGCTGAGGCAGAGATCTTGTCAGGTACGATGAGGCCGTGTTGAGTTGTCTACGAGCGGCGCCGAGCATAGGGGTTCCTTGAGCTGTGAATATAAACTGTGGCCGTGGCGTCGACTTCGAGACTACCACTTGCAGTTCAGGTCCTGCTCCAGCATGTACAGCTCTTGGGCTCTCGAGATGCCAATCTGTATCTGTAAGGCCGTTCGACATGGCTGTAAGCACCACTGCCTGCACGTAGCAGAAGTCGCACGCCGATACTTGACTGCGGGTGGTGAAGTAGGTTACTTTGTTGTACTCTAGCAGCAAGCGAAGGAGAGTACTTTGCTATAGGCTAGCAGCAAAGCATGCTACGGAGCGGTCGTCCTGTTTAGGCTTTCGATGCAGTACGCGGAGTGATGAGTGGCCTTCCCGACGTGTGGGTGTAGATATGAGGAGCTCCTGGAGTCCCCTCAAGCCCGCACGCGAGCTTTGACAATCGGTGTAAGTCCGGCAGCGGCAGGCAGACGTACATAAACTTATGACTTAGCTGTACCGTCATCACTCATCTATAAGATGTAAGAAGTGGCTATGAAGCATTGATCAAAGGTATAACTTGTCTTTCTTTCTTCCCAGCACAGCACAGCAGCGATGTGGCAGCGACGCCGGCAACGTGAAATCAGCAATGGCAAGCGAGTTTTGGCAACCAGCAATGTTTTTCTGATTTACTAACCAATTTTTCTCGTTCTAGTCAAGTCCCGTTGGTCTAGCGGTATCATTGCAACTTGTAGTGGTCTTTATATCCATTGTTGCGGGTCGCCAGTTCGAATCTGGCACGGGGCAGCCAGCTTCCTTTTTTCTCCTTTTGCTGCTGCTGGTCATTGCACGTCCACTGTATGTATGCCGACGTGATCTATTAGTTTTCCAAACCACGTTGTCAAGTAGATCTTGCTCGCTACGTTAAGCCATGAAGCTGACGTTGTCTGACGACGAGCATCGTTGGATATAAGACGAACAAGGTACGTTGCGGTAACGTCTATACAGGACCTGTGAGTCTTCATGTGGAATGAATTGCCAGACGCTGAGTACAAATCACCAGTCACAATGGCACGAAGACGATTGGGAGATGTGGTACGTGTGGTATTTGAGCTCAATCGCGTCCCCTGCGCATTGGGGTTCATGTTGGCCGGCGCGTTGTTAATGCTGAACATCATGAGCCATTTGTACTGCTCCACCACATGCCAACCCCGTCCCACCATCAGGCAGTTGTCGTACTGCTCACGCGTAATCAGCGTATCGTAGGCGCGGAAGGTGGCCTTCGTCCCCCTCCTTCCCAGGGTTCCAGCAGATCATAGTCTCCTTGCAAGCCATGCGCAACGCAGCGCGCTGGACTGCATCAGTCGCCTGCTCGGCGGCATCTGTCAACCACGTCAGCTTTGTTGCGTATAGTGTGCGCAGATGTGCTCACCAAGCCATCCCAGCCGCCTCGCGCTCCGCCGCCATCTTCTTCTTCTCCGCCTTGGCAACACACGACGAGCAAAGCTTCGTCTTGCAAAGCTCGCACTGGTACACCATATCGGTGCTGTGTTTGGCGTCTGCGCTGCAGGTGAACTGCACGAGACTGGTCTCCGAGCGCAGCAACTTCATGCTGTGCTGGCACACACCGGCGGCCGGCATGATGGTGGAGGAGGTGGAGGCCATCTGCTATCGATCAGTAATAGAGCTTTTATCAGACAGACGGTACGTACTGTGCTTGTGTCGGTTGCGTTGGTTGTGTGTGAGTGTTGGTCTTGTTGTGTGGCTGATGCTGTCGCTCGTCGATGTTCGTGCAAGGTGGAAGGTTATGAATCAAACTCGAGGCAAGACTTGAGAAAATGGATGACTAACACGTTTCACAATCACATGCAAGTTGAGCCGAACGGGATCTGTCAGCACTCCCCCTGCCGCCATATCACTCTCGCGCTCGTATACTGCGCGAGCAGTACTCGTATACAGTTGGAAAAAGCGTGAGCTTTCCCATTCACTCCCGCAGCTACCATATGGCCCCCCTAGGCTGTTTGCTGTCTCTTTGACAGGAACTGAGCAATCAAAACCACTCTAAACGCGTTCAATTGGACCAGAGATGACCACATCGCACGTTCATCAAAGCAGGACTACGTTTGCAGGAGCTGTTGATTCATCAATGTCAGCCCGCCAGCACCGATTTTTCTTTCAGTCGAACACGCTCTGCCAACTTTCTCCCGCCGCCATATCACTCTCGAGCTCGTACACTGAGCTGGCAGTGTGCAATCCACTACAATTAGATCGGAGATGACCACATAGCACGTTCGTTAAGGCAGAATTATGTTTCGCAAGAGCTATCAATGTTGCCAACTCGCCAGCAACAATACTGCCCTCACTGATCTCCGACCCAAGGGCTTAGCTGCCTAATGCACAGCCGAATGCCTGCGGTCCTGTGGTCATCAAGACGGTCTCCACCTGTTGCCAGCAAGCACGTGGACTCGAGCCATTGCCGAGCTTTCTCATCATGTGCTCATTCCCTCATTCCGAGATCGCCTCCCACTGTTCTCATAATCGGAGCGTGAAGCGAAGCCCGTAAGCTCGCGAATGTCCTCCTTCGTGATGGGGAAGAACTCTCCGCCAGCTTCTGCTCCAGCCAGCGTATTAGTGTTCGCCATGAACATGTCCAGACCATACGACGGGCCTTGTCGGGTCCTGAGTATGACGGTAGTATTCTGCTGGTGTGGCTCAACACGAACCGAAGTACAGGCCCTCTTGTTCTCAGCGTGAAGCCCACAAGCACGTGGACGTCCTCCTTCGTGACGGAAAGAACCCCAGCCAGCCGTCTTGGCCAGGGTATCCGTGTTCACCATAAGCATGTCCAGTCCGTACGACGGGTCTTGTCAATACGCCAGGCCTTGTCGTGTCGTGAGTCTGACGTCGTTCTCGTGCTGTGACAGCTCAGCCCAAACCGCGGTACAGGCCCAGCGAGTGTTGGCCAGCAATGGGCGCACGCCTGCTCTCGCACAGAGACAGCACGCGTGTCTCCTCCTTCGAGACAGGACAGCCCGCTTATCCTCGACGTGAACCCAATGAGCGTGCGAACGTCCGCCTTCGCAAAAGGGCGAAAGCAGCCCACTGCTCCTTTGCTCTCAGCGTGAACCCCATGAGCACGCGGACGTCCGCCATCGCGACGAGGCGGAAGCAGCCCACTGCTCCTTTGTTGTATAAGCACCCGAATGTCTTCCTTCGTGATGGGGAAGAATTCCCCGCCAGCCTCGGTTAGCGTATCCGTGTTCGCAACAAGCATGCTCACAATCGATACGCCGGACCTTGTCGTGTCGTGAGCCTGACGTCGTTATCGTGCTGTGGCGGCTCATCGTACTCCGAGGTACAGGCTCAGCGAGTGTCGTCCACGAGCGCGCGTCTGTCTTCCTTCGAGACAGGACAGAGTGCTCTCAGCGTGAATTCCGTGCACGCGTACGTCCTCCTCCGCGACGTGCCAGATTGGTCTCAGCGTAAAGCCCAAGAGCACGCGAATGTCCTCCTTCATGACAGGGAAGAACTCTTCCGCTAGCCTCGGTAAGCGTATTCGCGTTCGCGACAAGCAGCCCAATCGATACGCCGGGCTTTGTCGCGTGTCGTGAGCCTGACGTCGTTATCGTGCTGTGGCGGCTCATCGTACTTCGAGGTACAGGCCCAACGAATTCGGCTAGCTTATGCCACGAGCACGCGTATGTCCTCCTTCGAGACAGGACAGAAGTTTCCGCCATCCAGCGTGAAGCCCATCAGCACGCGTACATTCTCCTTACATCCTCCTTCGTGACAGGGCAGAAGTACCCGCCATCCAGGATGAAGCCCATCAGCACGCGCATGTCCTCCTTCGTGACGGGGCAGAAGTCCCCGCCGGCCATGCCGCTGCCATCATGCCAGTCCTTCTCTCCGTCCTCCACAGTCTACCCGGACTTGCGCGAAGAAGTCACGTCCTCGGCGTAGCCGGGCGCAAAGTTGAACGGCCTGAGGCCAGGAAATGTATCCTGGCGGTGTTACTTGTCAGACGAGAAGTCCAGCATCTTTAACTCTTGACCTTGCCAGCAGTCGAGCAGCCGAAGACAGGAACAGCTGCGTCGGCCGAGAAGTCGAGCGTCGTAATGCCTTCGAACGAATCCTGGGTCTTGGGCTTCTCAGGTGTGAGCTCGAGGGTCACGCTCTCGTTGTCGCTGGCCGCGAAGTCGAATGGCGTAATGTCAGAAAACGTATCCCGGTGGTTGTCCTTGTCAGGCGAGAAGTACATGTCAGGCGAGAAGTCCAGCGTCTTTACACCGGCGAAGAGGTCGTGGTTCTTGACCTTGCCAGTCGAGTAGTCGAAGGCGGGAACAGCTGCGGTAGTCGGCGAATGGTACTCGGCACACGACGATCGATTCTGTTCGTTGTTGTGAGGTGCAAAGTCTGCGTTGACTTTGCACCTCACATCGCCCGCGTCGTACTCATGTATCGTTTCGCACAGTGATATTGGATCGAACCATAAGTGCGCTCGTCTCCCAGCACGTCGCCCATCAGAGCAGATTTCTTGGCACGCAAAGGAATCTGCGGGTGGTTGTTCTTGCTAGGACGTGATCAAGAGCAGCGGCGGTGTGCTTGGTAAAGGTGGCATACATATCGCGAGGTATGCAGCAAGTCGTGTACGCGTGCATAGTAGGCGCCGGAGTGGTGGTCGCAGCCTCGGCCGCGGACGTTCCTCCATCTTCTTTCGTATTACCGTAGCCTCGTCTCAACGTCTCTCCTGGTAGAGTCGTCCTTCTACGAAGTAATTCATCATCCTCACGTAGTCTCAGAAAGCCTTCCTCTGCTGCTCCATCAGCGGCCCCTTGCTCTCTTGCTCTTTCCTCTCCTCACGTTCTTGCTCGCGTTTTGCCTTCTCCGGGTTCCTCATTCCACTGATCCTCTCATGCACCGGCACAACGGACAAGCACCCCACTCGCCACCGTTGAAGTATACATCCCTGCCTAGCAGGAAGCCACAGCCCTGGTGCTTCACGATGGCTACCGGGTCTTCACTCAACTCCAACTCTTCGCACTCTCGTTGTGTGCGCCCCGCGTCTCTGTACTTGTTGACGAAGCTGCGGCTGGAAGACGGAGCCGGTGGAGTGCCGGGTCCAGTTTTCAGGCTGCCTGGAGGAGCGGTCGAGGTCTCGCTGCCAGCCGGAGGAGCAGGCGAGGTCTCGCTGCTAGCTGGGGGAGCAGTCGACTCGCTACCAGCCGGGGCGTACGGGCGCAGTCTCGCTGTTGATGGCGGTCGTAGCGGAAGCAGAGCTCTCGACGCTGGCGCTGTAGCAAGTTGTCAGTGCATAGCTCATGCAGGGTGAAAAGGTTTTCTTACGGAGTGGTCTCAGCAGGAGCCGGGACGCTTGTGGTGGCCGTCGTGGTGGCAAACGCAGGCGAGCAGTTGAAGACCGTAGCGATGGCTTGGGTGACGGTCACTACGCCGGTCGTCAATACTGTGCCAATCTCACTGGCAGAACCGGTAAAGGTCATGAGCTCTGGGAGGAGGTTAGCAGTGAGCGTTGTGAACTTGCACCTTGTTACTCACCACCCGTCACGTCCGCAGACACGACCGCGTTTTCCTTCAACCGTCGTCGCTCCTCGAACGCGAGCTCCTAAGGTATCATTTCGCACAGTGATAGTGGTTCGACCAGGCGCTTGCTCAAACGCGAGCTCATAGATCCGGATTTTCGGCGGTGGTTGCAGCCGGTGATGGCGGCGGCGTCTGTTTTGGTCTGGTTGATGGTCGAGGTGGACGAGCCAGAGTCGGCCATGGGATTGATGGTTGTGATTGTGTAAGGA